TCATGTTCAAGGGGGACCTCGAGGCGTGCGCGCACTGCACCACCGCACATGTTGACAACACAAGCACAACATAAACACACGGAGACATTATCAGACCGTGCAGACGCGAGCGAGCGTCACGGACTGACTGCTTCCACGGCCGCAATCGCTTTATATTTAGAGAGCCACAGACAGCCAGCGGGTTGGCTCTCGCCATCAGAGCTTTTTTCATATTTTTTTCTCTTCTGTCAGACAGTTCATCTAAGCTGCCAGTGTTCAGTGACACTTTGAATTAATAAGATCGTAGATAATAAATTTTATGTAACGGTGATATTGCTTACGCGACAGTGTTTCTTTGGAATTTTTTTGGAAAAAATAATAATAGGAATAACTATCGCTATCCCCAACTCTACGGTAACTTTATTATTTATTATGTTTGTTTAGGAATAAGGTTCAATGGTGATAAATGTAAATATATTTATTGTTAATTTGTACTTTCAACAGCAATTAAGCAATTAATCTTACCTGTAGACAGTAATTAAATGATTTTACAAGTAGAGCGGAGATAGTTGTAATTAGTGTTTGTAATGAGTGTTTTCCAGACTTTATATTTTTCAGTGTTTTGTCTTATTTGCAAGAGTAAGAAAAGGCATATTATAAGCTACCACGTATCATCTTTAGACGTTATATTAGGTAAACATTAGGTCAAGCGTAATTTATTCATTTAGAAAAACCTAAATGTTATTTTTGAAAATAACCGTACCTAAACGATCATATTTGATTGTAAAAAACACAATCTATAATTGCATCTTGTTTTTAACAAAAAATAAACATTTAAAGGTCAGGGAGATGGCAAACAAGTTTTAAGTTTAACACAAAAATATTCCTTTAATGGCATCAAGTTTTTTTTATAGCTTTACCTAAATAATATACGTATAGAGATAGACTACGATGCTATTTAACGTTTTTCCATCCTTTCATCACATTCTAATAGCCTAATATCTGCGCTGGTTGCTACTTGGAGACCCAAGAACGACGGTCTTTTATTTCTACATTCTATGGTTTTCTAGTTTTCGAGTATTATAGTCAGGTGTCGGAGTTACGATTTGGAAGTAGGGAGTTCAAAGTTCAATGGAATTAACAATAGCTTGTTAAACAATTTTTGGTGTGTGATCAAATTTTGATTACATAAAACATAACAATCGTTTCAATGTAACTATTGATATTATGAATGGTTTTAATGAGGATGTTGTGACTAGAAAGGTAAACTTCATTTCGGTATACGCCTATTAAGCGAGTAAAAATATTTATGTAATACTAGCTGTCGCCCGCGACTCCGTCCGCGCGGGATTAAAAATAGATGTTGACCGATTCCCAGACCTACTCAATATGCTCACAAAATTTCATGAGAATCGGTCAAGCCGTTTCGGAGGAGTATGGGAACGAAAATTGTGACACGAGTATTTTATATATAAGATTGTGATCATACCGGGTAGAGAAGTATGCTTATTATGACTCATTACCGAACTTAGTTGTTGATTGCTTAATAAAGTCACCCTTAGTGTAATTTTTCGTACTAAGGGTGACCACTTTACGACTCTGGGTGGTAGTTGAAGTTATAGAACTTCATATCATTGTTTGGCGACCGCTGCCGATTCTTGGTATGTGGTCGAATTGCATTGTTTATTGTCATTTCTTGTCGGAAAGTTATTTGAAACTTTAAAAAAGGCAATAGCGTCGGATCTGATGAGCGGGCACTTTAACTACTTCTAAAGATTTAAAAAAATGTAAGATCTAAGACCTAAAAATGTGTATGATTCTCGTATTCGTTCAGTCATGTTATGCATTTGTCGCCGATATGATGCGCATAAAATTGTCATATACGCAAATTAATCAAAAACTGAATGTACTACAAGAATGTTATTTTAAAAATATATGCATTAAATTTGGAATTTACGAAATGCACGGCCCACTAGAAACTATTCCATCACTTTAAAAAACTATAATTGCTTATTGATTTAAATAATCGGGGTATTTCTTTGCCATAAAACATGCATACTTATGATGTTTATTGATACGTGCAGATGTTTAAACTTAAATATCGATAAGTCAACGTCAGCTAGAAATTCAATGCCCCACATCATGTCTCATGTTAAAGCATCCATTATCGTACATAACGTGAGTTATTGTCTATTGATTTATCTTATCATATTATCTCTGTTAGACTTTGATATGAAATATGAGACGTAACTCACGATATTCATAGCTATTGTGTCTTCCAGAGTGATAGCTTAGTGGCAGTATGATAATGGTATGATGATAGCTTAGTAGTATAGTTCGAATCTGTATAAAAATATTTTATGTTGTACTAAACTAGATCATTTAAGAATTTTAATAATGGCAGTTATAAATTAAATATATTTTTCTTGTCAGTAAAATAGTATTTTTTAAATATTGATTATCATAAAAGTTTTAACAAATAGTCAAAAGGTTAACTTAAAAATTATACTTTTGTTATTCCATATTTTTTTTTAATGTAAACTAACAGTGAGTCACCTAAAAATGTAATATATACTGTATATATTCAAAGTATTATAGTAAAAACGAAATGTAAACATGATTGAAACAAAGCCAAGGCTTATCTCATTTTATCTATTTCGACAGTGAATAATGCATGGTACAACGCATGGTGACATTTTGTAGATTTAAATTGTTCTCAAACATTTTAATTATAAATTATTCCTTTTATTACATAGCTGAGCGTCGGTGGCTCAGGGGTCAAGCACTTGACTTGCAATCTGCAGGTCCTAGGTTTGAATCCCGCCATATACCAATGTGTTTTTCGATTTCCGATTTACATATGTACATTTATCCGACGTTCTTACGGTGAAGGAAAACATCGTGATGCAACCTGCACATATCTGAGAAGAAATTCTAAGATATGTGTGAAGTCAACCAACCCGCACTTAGCCAGCGTGGTTGACTATGGCCTAATCACCCTTAATTTAGGGTAGGCTCCGAGCCCCTCGGTGGGGATGTATAGTGATAGCTAGCATAAATAAATTCCAGCTTGATACATTCACACATTTAAAAAGGGTCTTGACAGACAACAAAGTGATCCTATAAGGGTTCCATTTTTTTCCTATGGGGTACGGAACCCTAAAAAATAATATAATAATTAGAAATATATTCAGTTAGCATGGTATAGTACTTAGTTCTAGAGTTGGTACATCAGGAAAAAGATTTACTTGTTCTCAAAGTGCCAAAACAAATGCTGGAGACATCATAAAGATGCCATATACTCATCATTAATGAGATGTTTTTATAGTAAACTTAAAACCCTTGATTTATATTTCTTAACAAAGAACAAATTCAACTGGAAATATTCAACAAAATTTTATTACTTAGAAACAATCAATTGTGGTTTCTTTTGTAAAAGTGGGTAGATTTATAAGATTTAATGTAAGTACAGTGTTTTGACATTATATATTTTAAAGTCAAAAGAATTTATTTGAATCTAAGTGTTTTCCACATAAAACACAAGACATAGGGCCTTTTGATTTAGTTGCATATATTATGCTATATTTTATTTTACATTAATGCAACTCGTAAACATTTTTTCTAAACCATAAATCCAATTTGAATCTATTTAGATTGTCTTTACCAGAGGGTTCTCTTAAAATTTTGTACACTAAAATACCATATGCTTCAATATTACAATTGTGATATGATTATTCAGACCTGTCTTAAATACAGTTGTCCAATTAAATTAAAAAAAATAATTAAATAATGTAATAGTTTAATTTGTTACTTCTAGTCTTATTTATATAGCCGTGGCCTTATTTCAAGACTAAAAACTTATAGTTGTAAAATATAAAGTAGTGATATCTTTACTATTATTTTTCATCGAATAATGAAATTTATCATGATAGTAAAATATGGCTCCAACGTGGAAATCTAGAGGTGATTTCAATTAACAATTATCAATTACTAAATTTAAATGTTCATGCAATTTAGCACTCGGTAAAAAGATTAACAATTACATAAAATACTTGAGATTTAAATAATTTTACTTACCAATATTTTGGAAGTTTCGACAAAACTGTTTGTTCGATAACCTAGTAAAGTTTTTTCGGTTTGTTTACACGTAATTTTAATAGTATTTGTGTAAATTCTGCAATGATAGGCAGAAAAGCGACGCACCGCCATAAAATTTGACATTTCACGCAATGTTGTCAGTTGTTATGTGTCAGGCAAATACAAATTTAGGGAGAATGACAGTAATTCAATTTTACCAACGTATTTTATAACTTTCATGTGCTTTAGGGAAAATGTGATGAAACATACAAACATAATTATTTATGTCTGAAATTATTCAAATTAATGTATCGCATTCGCTTGAAGTAATAAAATTAAACTTTAAACAAATATGTATATACAATCAAGATACGAAAATAGGCCCTTCTTGCCGTGAAATTCTACTGCCATAATATCGTTGTCTCTTTTTTTGATAGATAAGAAGGGAGAGGTCAGTTTTTTTTTAAATAAAATGTTTGTTCTGTGTAAATCCACAGTTAACATAGGTGAGGAGTTTTGCTCGATCTGAATACATATTTATACGTGCAATTGTTCGTTGGGTGCATAGGTTAGAGGAATCCTTACGAATATTTACTCGATTGCCTTGTGACTTGTACTGCATATCCTAAGACTGGTTTTCAAACATGTAGGTCCACATTCTGACTTGCTGATATGCGAAGTAGGGACCTACACATACGGTCCTCGGCTTTTGTAACCGAAACTATTTTCTGGATCTACTCTATTTAGCTATAGTCGTACTCGTAATGTTGTAAAAAAAAATCACAAGGGTAGGTTCAGCCTGCGCAGTAGCTGTCATGTATTACATCAATATCTTTACAGTAGAGCAAAAAGATATTTTAGGGCGCAGCTTTAAAAACGGTTGATGTTTGAACGATCTGGTTTGAACGTGTACTGCGTACGTTGCAAAAAATTTAAACAATAGTATTATTCTTGACCATTTAATTAATTTAAAACAAGTATTTATTGATAATGGAACTTATACAACTTAGTAACATAAATGTAGGGATAAGCCATCTATAATACAAATAATTCATCCTTACTGGGAAAGGTCAAATATAATTTGAAGCTAACATCGATATGTTACGATTTACGTAATGATATAAACATTCCCAATAACATACTAATAATAAATTTGAAAAACAGGTTCGATGCTATAAATTGCATATAATTTTGTTCGGTTCGTAAGAAAATATTTAAGGTATTGTCCTAATACTGATACAATTTAATCTAATCATAAGAGTTTGAAATAATATTTTTTGGTTATTGAACTATTGAAAGCATTTTATATTTTAAGCGGAATTGCTATTCTAAGTGTAAGGTTCGTTGTATTGTTTCGGAATCATCTAACAGTGAGTTTCCACTGTTGTAGCAAATGTGCAACAACATACATAATACATAGAAATAGTGTTCTTATATTTGTACAACAGTTGAAATTCACAATATTGGCGAAATCTAATCATGCATTATGTAAATTAGCTATTGAATATTGTGTCATAAAAACAGACTTTAGCTTAGGTCCTACTTTTGTGTTTCGAATAATAGCGTTTTGGTTGTGAATATTCTTGGTGGAGTTATGAAATTCATTTGAATTAAACTATTACATACATTTGTGTAGCGAAAAATTATCTTTTCGGTATTTATTACTAATTATATCGTTAGAAAAGTGTATTATTGTTTAGATGCATGATTAAATTCATAGAACAAGCATGATCATCTCACTTCGCTGGAAGACAACACATCTGCGATGTAAAATGCACACCCCACAGAGTAATTAACAAACAGAATGTCCTGAAATATCTTAAATAAAACTAAAAAGCCTCAATATCTTTTTGTTAATTACTGCTATAGGGTAAAGACATATATTTGCTGCAACAGATTTTTATTTTCTTTACAATTCCATGCACAATTCACCAGTTTGTATGAGGGTCGGCGATGTCGCTATACAATAATTATATTAATTTTACACATAGTTTGCATACTAACTCTATAAAGCTCATCTATACCATAATTATTATCATTGTATAAATAATTTTACATTAAAATAAGTGTTTTTTTTCCTAATTTAGTTGCGAATTAATACTGATTGTGTTTGAAAAAATATTTATTTTTTAAAATAACTTATTGTCTACGACTACATATGACTTTAAATTCACGACCACGCCGCAGTTGGCAATTTATGTACGTTAAAGTAATGACTAGAGGGCATAGCGCGAATACTTGCGATACTCGCCTTCGTAATGTTATCAACAAAATATTTCTATGAGATCTGTTGGTGTATTTTACGCTTGGTGAAGGCGCTGCACAAATTTTAATAATGTCATTGATGTCGTAATGAAAACGTAATCACGAATATTCATGATAGGCCCTCAGTTTAAATTGTCGGGAAATAAATATAAATTAAATTAATCATAAGCCTCTATCGTTACAAAATAATACTGTTTTCTCATCAATCATTCAATAATCCACAATTCGAATGTGCTTACATAATTCTAAAAAAATAATTAAATCCAAGGAAATAAATGTGTGAAGAAATCGACGTAAAAGATGTCGAAGAAGAATAGATGTCGAACCGTGTCTTGTTTTATATATAAGCACATATATAATAATAAACTTATTTACAACGTATCAGCTAATTACATAAGTCCGAGGGACCATAAATAATACTAACAATTCATAAGTCCAATCAGTCTCTACAAATCCGACACTTTTGTCCAATACTTATTTTTTAAATCGTCTTCGTTCTTGTTTCGGTAATTCGAGTTCCCACTATCCGAAACATTCACATAAAACATTATCTCTCTGTGAATTAACAGGTCTAACATACTTTATGCAGATTTTCTGCTATCACGAAGTTTTTTAGAAAGACAAATAATTAAGCAGTTTCCGGCTAGTATTATTCATTTCAAATATCTTGGCGGGCCAAGGTGATCATATCCAATGGGATGATATATTATAATACTTAACATTGTGTTCTCGTAAGTTCAGACTCACTAAAATATCTGAAAATATCGTTCTTAACTATAGGCAACCTTAAAAATGATATGAGTTGCTTTATTGCTATGTCTAAAGGTAAAGAAAGAGATAGAAAGATGTAACACAGGAATTATTGAATTTAAATACATATTTGACCTTCTTTTGGTTATTATCTGCAAATCATTCAATCTTTACGGGTATCTATAGGTCTATAACATGTCGTCTCTTTCATTCGTTATATGTTTAAGAGAAGCTGTCCTGCTCGCACTCGTCCCAGCTGTCGCAGTCGTAGTGGTCGCAGTCGCAGTCAATGTCGCAGGCGGCGTGGCCGGTCGCGTCCGAGCTGATGTCCGTCAGCGCCGCGTCTGACACCGGTTTCGATGATATATCTAATATCTGCAAATAATTAAAATGATCTTCAGAACTTTAGATGGATTGTGTATAATTCTCTAAAAACGTATACAAGTATTTAGTGTAATGCCTGGTTTATATTATGCCAGTACAGTAGAACAATAGCGGTGGCCTGGCATGATGAGTATGGGCTCACTGGCACCAGTAAGTGTTTACATTACGCCATAGCTGATTTCGATGGTTGCCCTACTGTACTGGCGCCAGGTGTAAGACTGACATCGGCGGAGGAGCGCAGGCTGTAGTTGTCAGAGTGCGCGTCGCGGTCTGCAGCGGAGAGCGCGTGCAGTGCCAGCGAGCCGCGCTTGCGTTCCTCGCGCGACACGTTGCGCACATCCGACCGTATCGCCATCTCTGACGGGTTCGAACGTTCTGGAAAAATGCAAATTGTCTCATTAAGTAAAAAGTTATTTGCAGTATTTAAACATAACGCAAATACGTAATGTAAACTATACCTTTAATCTGTGGATCGGCAAGCGACACTGGGGAGCTGCTTTTAGGCGATCCAAGACTCCCACTGAAATACATTTCTGGGTTTGCTTCGTGACGATCTGAGAAAAAAGAATTACTTATTAGTATTCCGAAGTTTAAAACATTGTAAATAATAGGTAAACTAGAGCACAAATCTTATTGTCATCTTATATCCGCAATTGAAGATGCGCTGCCTACTTGGGAGGATTCATAGAAAGAGGATTTCCCCCCTTTCTTAGGTCCTCTCGTCCGTCAAATTCACTTGATCTTCCCATATAAGAAAACGGTTAGAAGCGAGCGAGGGGAATAAAATTAGGCCTGCGGCACGCACAGTCAGACGACTACTTAATGCCAATTTTCTATGTGGTCGTGGTATTTCACTGGTGTCGTTTACCATTGTTAAAATGTGACATACCACAATCAATGACTTCGTGGAAGATATAGTTGCTGATGTTGACTGGCTGCTTGATCCATGGGTGTGACATGAGCTGCGGCACGCTGCAGCGGTGCGCCGGCTCCTTACACAGCATCCACCGCAGCAGGTGCTCCATGTCTGATATAATACAAATTTTTTACACTTAACGGTCAAAAAAACATTTTTAAACGACATTACAACCTGTTGACATAATGTAACGTTTCATTATACAATGAGGCGCCTCCGGGCGATACGTCTATATATATTAATAAAAATATTTCGTACATATATTATATTCGCGTAGCTGATAACAATTTTTTTTTAAATTTATATCTGTCTGTATGTCTGTTTGCGCCGCGTTTGTTCCTTGTAATATCCGTAACGGCTGGACCGATTTTAACCGGAGTTTGTCAGTAAGGTAGCTGGTATATGAGTATATTATAGGCTAGTTAACCTTCAGACACCATCTGCGGGAAGGCGAGAGCGCCGTGCACGGTGTCCTCGATGTCGGAGAACGGGTTAACAAAGAATGTCAGCACATACAGTGTTATCCCCATTGACCACATTTCTAATTCAGGACCAGCATATCTGGAAATTGTATCAAAACACATATAAAGAATAGCACTTTTTATAAGAAAAAATAGAAATTGGTTGTTTTTTATAGTAATGATCATCATCATCATCATCATCAGCTCACTATACGTCCCCACCGAGGTGCTCAAAGCCTACCCTAACTTAAGGGTGATTAGGCCATAGTCAACTACGCTGGTCAAGTGCGGGTAAAGTAATAGAATACGTAAATCACTAAAAAATGAGGCATACACTTTTCTTAAACGAACTGCACAAAAAAATCTCATCTATTAAATTAAAGAGAATGAGAGTTACAGGACATTTATGAATTCGGCAATTACAGCCTTTTATAATACACATAGTTGCTGTCTTCGAAATCGTAGGTATCATGTTATAGTGGTCGCATAGCACATACTTATTGCCGGTGAGTACTTCAGGGCTGCAGTACTCGGTGGTGCCGTAGAATGTGGAGAAGAGCGTGTCTGGACTCATGAATGTCGCGGAGCCGAAGTCTATCAGCTTCACGTGGAACTTGTTGTCTATGATGACGTTCTCGTCCTTTATGTCACGGTGCAGGATATTCAACGAGTGCAGATATTCCACAGCTTGACCTATCTGTAACGTCATCGACTTTCATACATTACTGAGTGGAGGAGGCAGAATAAAATACAATAATAAAAATATAAATAAACTCAACAACGGTTGTTAAATAAAAAATATCTTACACTTTATCTACAAGTCAAAGTATTTGTTTAAATGCAAAATGTTATAGCCACATTTTGACCGTTTATTTTTTAGTTCTAATTCCCTTTTGACCCTCTCGTACGAGGCAAGATGGGAAGGTAAAAGTGTGTATCAGGAGAAGAGACGCTTTGGTAGAGGAAATGCCCACATTTTGTGCGTCTCCTCTGTTAATTGGAGGTACGCAACTCGCGGTATTTTGGCGAAATCCGGTACATACTCAGTTGTCACATTATATGAAAATTGCCATTACCATAGGGACAGCTGCAGTGAGTAATAAATAATATGTAATAATAACCTGTCTAAATATATAGCTAATGAGTGGCTCGTCCAGCCGCGGCCTGCGCTCTATGAACTCGAACAGGTCCATGCCGGCGCCGTGCTTCTCCATCACCATCTGGAAGTACTTGTCGTTCTCGAACACGTCCAACACGCTCACCTGGAATACAAGCAATTTCATTTACATGTTAGCTGCCGCCCGCGACTTTGTCCGCGCTGTAAATATCAACATTAAGATACGAACTTTCCCGAAGCTAAATAAAGGTAATTCCAATTAGTCTAATCTAGAATCCTTTTTATTATATGTACTAAAATATTCCCGAAAATTTGAATATGAGTACACAATTGAAAAATTTAGGTATGAATGAAATTTTCAGTTGTTTTATCGAGATGTTTAAACTTACAATATTGGGATGTTTGAGTGTGGTGAGCAGGCTGAGCTCGAGCGGCACCTTACGGCCGTCTGGTCCGTCCACCCAGAAGTGCGCGCCCACCTTCTCCTTCAGGATGAACTTGGCCACCGTTAGCAGCCGATCTGATCGCCGGTACGCCATCTTCACACAACCGTACGCACCTTTGCCTGGACAAAACATCGTTCTAACAAAAGCAGGCGCGTGTGGAACTTATGCCACGTTTCGCCTGACTAGTTTGTGTACCGGAGGCTAAATTTATATTCTCTCCTCAACTTTCCCTTATAGGGATGGGAATGTGAAGAGAAGAGGCAGTCAAGGGGACACTTAGGAAGGGTAAATATCGTCCTTCTGTGCGTCCCATATTTTACAGCTTAATATCGTCTATGGGCAGAGGTCAATTAGGAGGACAACTTACCAATCTGTTTGAGAGTGACATAATGCTTGCTGTATTCACCGGCGAGCTGCTCCTCACCGCACTGGCTCATCAGAGACATCGACTGCGGCCGGCTGCTCACTGATTTGTTACCCTGTAATGTTTGCTACAGGGTTACACTAAGGAAAGAATCAATACCCCAGTTTTACAGTTCTTGAAAATAAATGTGCACTCAATGATTCGACTGGAAAGTAAAGCAAATAATATCAAAATGTTCAATAACTTAAAATTGTAACTAGTATAATACTATTATACAAAACCTCAGTATAGTTTGTAACAAGCCGGGCAAGTGTTGTTACTATGAGTTTACACAGCCGAATCTGTATAAAAACATATCTTTAAAAAGATGACAGTAAACGTAAACCGGTTGCGAGACTAACCATGACGAGGGAGTTGTCCGCGGTGGAGGCGAGGCTGGAGGCGAGCGTGGCGTGTCGCGCGTCCTCGCGTCGCACGCCGAGCCACACGCAGCGCACGCGGCTGCCCCCGCACAGCTGCATCGTCGACACCGTGTACACCACGTCTGCACAACCGCACACGTCACACTTCAAATGCCTTTTTTTAACACACTTTTTATGGTGGAAATCGAGCAAGTGGCCACCTGGATTCGCCGAAATAGCGAAGTGACCGCAGTCTATAGACATTCACAATTGCATATGCGCTGGCTAAGTTTAATCCTAGTATAGTATAAGTTAGCAAAAGGTATTTTTTTTTGGGCACATATAATTATCCTGGAATGAAATATGCTTCATAAAAAAATTAAATTTAATATTTTTGCACAAAAATGCTAAAACAAAAACATACCAAAAATCAACAATTCTGTTTAAAAAGAGTAGTTTCACTACGCGAGGCAAATACCACTTTACAGATTAAATGAGGAAAAATTATAATAGTGTTTTTATAATATAAAATACATACGTAGTTCAGTGCCGTCCTTGTGCAGCACGAGACCGCGGTAGGCGCCGTCCCCGCAGTCTGTGGGCGCGGGCGCGCGCGTCTGCTGCGGTGTCGACGTTGTCACCTGACTCCTCAACAACCGCTTAGCGACGCACGGAGTCTCCGGTGTTTCATCTGAAAATGCATAATCTGAAGGGTTTTCTACTGTCAGAGAATAAAAAGAAATCTCAAAGAGATTTCAACAAAAATGCAAATGTTTGGATGGATGAATATTAGTTACAAAGTATCTCCACTACCACTTCATGGATCTCGCTGAAATTTGGCATAGATATAGAACATAGTCTGGAAGAACACATAGACTACTAAGTTTTTTTTATTCAATTAAAGACGGAGACAAGGCCGTAATCATTGGTATGACACCGTTGTACATAATATATGACATATATTTTCTATATACAAACGTAGAAGTAAATCTATGCATATATTGTACAATGTTTAAAATCCCAACCTACCTTCAAACCTCTTCCTGGGCGCAGATTCAGTTTGTGTTTCCAAATCGATATCATTACTCAAACTATCCACACTATCATTACCATTATGCTTAGGTAGATCCTCTATCTCACATCCCGGGGGAGGCATCTCATTGATCGGAGTCAAGAAATCAGCACTGGTCTCATTTGAGTCGCAAAAGTCTAGAGATATACTGCTTTTATCCTCTTTCCCTTGATTCACTTTCACTGACTTGCATTTACTAGAGTCAAAAGACAGCCGGAGTGATGGGTCATTTAAACGGAGTCTTGGTGTATTCCCCGTTGGAGTGACTTCTTGAGAATGCTGTGATGTATAATAAATAGACTCAGACTTTTCCGATGGTTTAGATGGCGCCTGTTTACTTTGGGTGCTACTCTGTTCAGAACGCAGAATGTTCTCTGATCGCGATTTAGAGATACTACTGTGACAATAGTTTTCATCATCAATGGATATTCCTGACATGGCTGATGTAACATCTGGTAATGCTGATGTATCATTCCTCTGTTCAGTCGTACTGATGCTGGAGACCATGTCTTGTGTGGGTGTGGGTGTATGAGTGATCATACTGGACGACTTGTCGAGGCACAATGCACTAGAAGACTTCTCTCTCGTGGTAGATATGGATTGTATGGATTGGTGGACATTGAGTGACATGCAGGCTGATTTCTGACTGCCATTGAAAGCGCCACATGAGTCATCGTCAGTGTCTGAAGCTGTGATGATAAAATAAAAAAGAAAAACATTAATAAAAGACTATTCAATAGTCGACAAAAATAACATATGTTGTATATCAAAAATAATAAAATCGGCAAAGAACCATTTATTTTGTTTAAAATAAAATTATTTATTTAAATAACATACCTGATGCATCGTCACCATTGTTGACAGGTGACAAAGTCATATTTCTATTCCTGTCGCCTCCCTTTAGCATGTCAGCCTCGCGGCAGAAGTTGGGTATGACGTCGGTGATGTGGTGACCGATCACCTCGGACTGCGACTTGCCGAAGGTCAACATAGCGAAGTGCTGGTTGCACGCTGTTATTATACCAGCTTCATCCACCACAAGAAGACCACTTACGTTGAAAGTTACCTATTTAGGAAAAACAAAACAACACCACTACTAATTTAAAATACTAACTTTATTGTTACTATTATAAATATGAATGTTCGGTTGGATTGATGAATGGATGTTTGTTGGAAGTTATCACCAGAATGGCGGCATGGATCTCGCTGAAATTTGGCATAGATGTAGAACATAGGCTATTAAGGTCCCGGTTAATAATTTTATAATTAGTAAAATTATACAGTATGATTGATATTAACAGTTAAATAGCAGCATAGCAAGACTTTACTTTATGGAAACATTTCTTTAACAAGTTCCTCATGCAACTATATTCCCTCATACCCTATGATGTAAGAATGGTTTGAGGGCTAGATCTATTTATGTTTATGTTGCTAAGATGTCTAACTTAATACATACCCTGACATTAACAATATACACTGGCCTCTCTCGGTTGGTCTTGATCCCTGTCCACGGTGAACATTCCAGACTTGTAGTTTTAGATATCCACAAACACAGTGGGAAGGAGCCACCGTCTAAAGTCCTGCCTGAAAATGTCAAATAAAAACCTTCAGAAATTGTAAAGCAATTATTATTATTTTGTATCAGAAAAAATATAGCATAATCGGTTGTAAATACAAAAAATTATTTTGCAAAAAGATTTATTATATTATATATTATTGGTTAGCTAAAGCTTGTAGCTATTATAAGAATAGACAGATAGATTTGGAATATGTATGATAAAATTGTTATTTATAATCACCTGTAGCCTTCTGTTTGGAGATGTTCTTAGATATAGGCGTGTCATAGGAGGGCAGATGTATGGAAGGTATGAGTGAGGCGACAGGCAGCCCCACCAGTTTGTCTGCCGAGTCTGCCTGGAACAGCAGAGCTGCGTCGCCACCGTCACACGACACTATGATACCTGTCTCCGCATCCACTGTTAACTGGAAACATATTTATTTATTGTGTGATAATCCTGGGTGTAAACTCTATAAGTACATATATACAGATCAGTGCCAATTTTTTTTTGCCTTTATACTAGTAACAATAAAGTTTAAGTTAAATTGTAAATATAATTTTCACTTTATTGCTAAGAAGCTATTTACTTTATTGCTAAGATGTTATAAAGTCTCATATTTACTGTGGAGAAGAATAAAAAACCATTTACCACCACATTTTTACAGCTGACAGGTTCCGCAATAACTAAGCAGGGCCCATCATTGTCTAACTGTCTTATCCAGAGCGATACTTGAACAGATGTTCCATCTTTAGTCAGTAGTTCTACCACCTGAAAGCACAATTGTAAGGAACATCACCTTTTACTCTTTTCAATTGATTAAACCTTTAACACAAATTCTTATTTACCTTTCCGCTAAGTAAGACAACAGTTCCATCTTCAGAAGTGTCACCTTCCTCTTGTTCGTTTAGACTAAAGGTCTTGCTGCTTCTGTTATGGATTAAATCTGAAAACCGTAGACCACAAAGCTCACCCGAAGAATAACCGAGGAGGGAACATGCCTTGTTATTTACAATGAGAATCTGAAAGTGCATAATTCAATTTTATTTATTTAAATATAAATAATCATAGTAATTGTTGCAATTTAAAGTCATGTGTGAAAATTTCACTTATTTTTTTGTAAAAATAACAAACAAGAGCTGAAACAGGTATCCTCAGGCTTACAAAACAATAGATTCATCACAATGTGGTCAATCATTTAGGTGTTCAATTAATATTTACAAATAAAGGTAGTTTTGTTAATGTTACCTTAAATGTACTGGGCTCTATAGTAAACACAGCCTTGCTTGTGTTGATAGCTTGCTGTAAGCGTTCTGTTTGAGATTGTGCTGATGACCCAGGAACATCACCCACTGCCAACGAAGAGTTGAAGCGGAGACCATTTGGACCATCAACTAGAAACATTAAAAAATAATCTTAACTCTTGACCTATTATAATTACTATATGTTCTTTACTGTAACTAAGAATTATTTTTATTATTTAGCAGTGTTCATTCCCTAAAGATCTCTTGATGAGATATAGCTTTTGCTGTCAGATTTGTGGATTTATTTCTTAGCAAATCTTACCTCTTACTAAATCTGTTGCCTGTTTAAGTTTAGTTGGAGTCTCTGAATCCATCCTTATTGGACGTATTTTACGCCTTATACGAGGAAAGCTTTGATTGCCTTCAAACGAATTATTCCAAACATCATGGAATTTACGCTGAGTATTGACCTTCCTTGAAAATTCAGAATAAAGTTTGATATAACATCAAAAGTAAATAAGGTTACATAAGTCAGTACAAACATGAGAATTTGGACTACATTCAATGTTTTTGTTAACTGCAAACCTACCTCCATATATTGTCATATTTTGAAGCTTTCTCAGGCGTAACAAATTTTTCGATTTCATTACTTACTCCGTTGAAATGGAAGCCTTTCGTCTGCAACATTGTAAATCGTTAATAAAGGCAATTTAACGCAATAAATAAGGTGTTTAAGTTACTTACTATTTTCGGAGATAAATTAAGATGTTCCGGCGAGTAAACATCGAAGAATTTACCCAATCTAGGTTTCACTGGTGTCACTATTGGAGTATCGGTTTCTGAATTCCTGCACAATATAGAATTTCTATACTTTAGATTTGCCGAAAACACAAATACATTTGTGCACCGGACATCTCCTTTATGATTTATTTACATGTTAGAAGTTATTTTGGTACAAAAATCAATACATTACAGCGCGCAAGTTCAAAAATCAAAGTAATACTACTCTATAACTTTTAAATTTATATGTACCTGTTCAGATTAAATACTCCAGAATCTTCCATTTCAAAATTATGTTTATTTTATAACTAAAAGTTAAGTTGGAAATGGTTTTAAATAGTTGCAAATTATTAAGTCGTTTTAAATTTTTGAAACAAAAGATTGCAAACGAACCAGTGAAACCGAACGGATAACGACTTGTCAAGTTTTAAAAATGCGTTCAAAATAAGGTGTTAGCAATAAATTCTAAAAGTTTTTTAAAACAATGAATGTAAACAAGTCATTGAATTACATTAAAAATAAGAATAATCCAAAAAGATATAAATAGTAATCATAATATTTGTTGCAGTTAACAGAAAATTACAAGCGTGCGCCATCTATACCTGAAAATTAACAACACGGTTGTTGTGTTGTAGGTGTTTGCTGTGATGTTCCGGTGCGTTCTTCGGAGATCCCGGGACCCTCGCAGTTGCACTTGAGGTTGGCCACCGAGGGGGTTTTAGTGAGTACGAATCTCACATAACCTTGTCTTTCCCCAAAAGGCAGGGTATCTTACGAACATTTACCCCCGATACAAAAAAGGTGTTTGCTGTGATGAGTTCTCTAGAAATATAAATAAGAGGAAAAAAAAAGTTTTATTGGAATAGGAAAAACTTATTTATTTTTTCAGTATGTCCGTTGTTCGTTGAACAACATTATGCAATTTCTGACGTCTATTCGTATCGGTCTCGGAACATTAGGTGACCTGTTCATTTGACGCCTTCTCGGGTATAAAAATGTCCGGTTTTAATTCATCAATATATCCTTCTAGACTGCTTTTTATACAAAAAGCTTTATCCGCATAAAATTACAGGTACTACTTACAGTTTATTCGTTCCGGTTCTCTGTACTTTCAAACGCCAAGGTCTTTTTGAAGTCCTTTCAACGTACACACGTACACTTAATACGGAGACTTTAATATTTCTTTGTTACCATTGTCACATTTTGAACTTTGTAACCCATGGTAATAAGATTAGCTTTATTATGCTACATTTAGTTGCGGACTATGTTGTTGCTCTATTAAACATAATTAATGATTGTTAAAGTAAATTGAAGGTGGATTCAGACTGGACTTGATTGTAGGGCGATGTTGTGTATACAAGGTTTTTTTTTTAATTTTAATAATCGACTCTTAAAAGTGAAAGTTGAAATGCAATGTCATTCATATGTAATCTGAAAAATTCTGCTATATTGTTTTGCATTATAAATATTTGTACGAAATAAATATGTTTGGTGCAACAAGATATGTAAGCTAAAATGTATTTAATTTATATATCCCTGCTGTTTAAGTATTATAGGATGTAAAGATCGGAGTGAATTTTCTCAATTTCTTCAGTAAGCACCACATTTGTAGGTCTCGTTTGATCATTCATACAATACTGGTTGTATGCCTCGTTTACCATTACCAATAATGCAAGTTTGGTTCCGAGAATCACATAAAATTACTTAAGGCGAAATTATTTGAGTTAATATAAGTAATTGGATTGGTATTCTCATATATTCTGTTATGGTTGACGACACCAAACATACGCAAGTCGGAATAAATACCTTAACGCAATCAGCTTAAAGCAAAAGCTAGTAATTAATTCACAGGCGTAACGTTCCGGCGAGTACGCGTTATTGCAAAATGATGTAGTAACTTTGCTTATTTCTTGGTTTATCTGATTTAAATGTAATTTTTAATTTAGACCATTATCATTCGTTCAATTAAACACCTGAACTTGGATACAAATTTAATATAATTATTGAACACTTCCTTAGAGGTACAGAGACCATTAGACCTACTTCCACAAGTAGATAAAAGTAGACAAAAGCGCCCTCTATCGATTTTATCTCCTTTTACTTTGACCATATCGTCGGTTTACCCGGTAGGTCTAGCTACATTGTACGTTGTATATTTGTAAAAACATCCAAAAAATCTCTCCAACAATTGTTTTCCGAGGCCAAAATCAGTCGTTATCCCTGTCTTTATCTTTGATAAAACAGAGATAACAATATGTTTTAAACGGAGATTCTAGTCTCAAAAACTCACGGTGGAGTGCAAATATCACGTCAAAGACAATGGCGCACTAAACATGATATATTTGTCGGCGATCGTTAAAACAATCGCACTAGATATACATTCAGTATTAGGCCAAGGTTTCGAATTGAATGGAATTTGAGGTTTATTGTTTCACGAGTGACGCGTGACGGTCAATTCGTAGTCTTTAATTACACGTTTGTATACTAAATTTCCTACCGTATGTACCGTTGATCAAGGTTTTGCGTGACTGGTAAATACTATTTAAGCAAAAAGTTTTCATTTGACTTCGATTAGGTTCAATTATAATTAGTCGACAAGTTATACGAATGTTATATCAATATTAAAGTTCGATCTCCGTCAGATAAGATTCATTAGCTTACGTAAATTCTTTATAATAGAATCCAAACTGACATTTCGAGCATGTTCCTTGCTTACTATGGAACTGTTGTAGATACTCTCTTGTTTGTTGCGACTTTGTTTTTAGCTTGGAATTGACAAAAAAACGGCTTATAAATACTAGATAATTAAATAAATATAATTAGAATACATTTTAATAGGAAAGTTATGGAAGGCAAATGCTTTCATCAATTAAACTCACTGTGTTAAGCAACTATGTTATTTGACCATTGTTCCATACAAACAGCCTGTCCGCCTGTAATATACAGATTAAATAATAGAATCGCAAATAGTTACCATTGTATGACGATATTTGATATTTAAAGAAAACAAAAAAAAAACATATTAGCCTATGCCTGTTAAACCAATGTTAGGGTCGAGAAATTGCATTATTTCCATAGTTTCCTTTTAAAACATATATTGTAATATATAAATACAAACATATTTTACTCCACCTTTGCAGTAATAAAGGTTATCATTAGTGTTTTTTTCAATTAAAAATACTGCTGTCATGCAAGATTTTTTTTACGCTTTTCCTTGCATTTTGAATGCAGGCAACACGGCTGAAGCAGTATTTATTGTGATATTTGTATATCGTGTCGTGTTTAACAATGTAAACGCTACGTCGCCGGGCAATCATCGCAAGTAGGAAGTAGTGTTATTGAGACAGAAAGTATTGTGGCGTGACTGATTTGTGTGGCCGCGAGAAAGTGCGCAACACGTGCCGCCATTGATGAGTATTAACTACTATGATTAATCACATAACTAAATTTTTTTTTATAGTATCAAGTAGCAAAAGTAAGGGGTAAGTTACCTCTTAATATCGCTAAATTAGTCACGGAGAAAATTTTCCAGATTCGTTTACTTTTAGTGCACAGGGAAGAGGGTATGCAGAAAATGGATTATTTTCTTTTCCTGAACATATCTTTGCCATTCCCAATCAAATACAATATCCTTACATTATTACTAGACACTCAACATTGTAAAATAGGCAAATGTTTTATGGGAGGAATTTATTTAAAAAAATGCTTTAATAGAAATTGAAAACAATTTATAGTTTTTTTTAACTTCATGCTGACTATAGGATCCTGACAGGTTATGACCACAAAATGTTATTTAATTGTTTCTAACCTTGTCATTTTAAAATATTATATCCGTTGACTACTCGTATACATTGATATATTGAATTAATATAAAATGGCGCACATGTAACAAGTATTCAATCCGGTACTAACTAAATGTTAATTGCAATTTCCAGTTGTGATTTATTGGTACATGTTGTTAACACGTTTATACGGAACTGACGCGTACGTTACTGCCTACTACAGGAAAAAAATATTTGGTAGTTGAAAAATCTATTATAATTTACTTTATTTATACTCGTGTATTCTAGAATCTTTAAATTCTATTTCTTATCCCTACATTTAAAGGTTGAAACAGTAGCCATGAAATAACAACAATTTTTTTTCATACTCCAATATAACGAATCAATTTTTTTTCAGACACATTATCATCAGCTCACTATACGTCACCATCGAGGGGCTCGGAGCCTACTCAAAGTCATTGGTGACTAGGCCATAGTCAACCATGCTGGCCCTATGCAGGTTGGTTGACTTCACACATATCATTGAATTTTTTTTTAAGGAACACGACACCAAAATTTACTTATTTTAGGTATGAAATAAACAATACAAGTAGTAAAAAGCCTTGAGCGTAGAAGGGCGGATACGAATTATTCTGTCCCTTTGCGACAAGCCTCATAGTCCAATCGAAATTAACTTGAACTAGGTCTATACATTGGTACATATTAACAAGACCCTTGACTCTAATTGGCATAATACAAGTGGGCGTGGGAAACACAATCTCCTCCGCAAATAATAATACTATTATATGTTTCCACCGTAGCAGTGCTAAAATTATTATTAATTATTCTGAGTCAGATCCCGCATTTATTAAGAGTTTTATGTCTTTACTGGACTCTTTTGACATGTGAAATACCACAGACAGAAGCAAGGGCGGTAATCCTATAGTCTGCCATACACGGACTGCTTCAATCAGTTAAGACAGACAGCTTCAAGCGGTTTGCGTTGGATGATAAGGGGGCAAAGCACGAATATTTGTGACAATCGCCGTCGTCTTGTCATAGTTTATTATGTCAAAATTAGTATGAGATTTTTGGTGTACTTCACGGCCGGTACGCACTGCACAAATTCAAATTAAATTTGGCAATTGGCGATTGTCACAATAATTCGTGGTAGGCCCACAGTTGGCATTTGCAATTGTTCATCGTACACGGACCGTTTGGCCACTAAAGTAACTTTTTTTTTACTTAAAGTCTATAGTAAAAGCATATTTTAACTAACATAATTTAAATATCATATTGTCCTTGTTGAGTAGTTACTGTTAATTTATATGATTTGAACCGAAAATTAGCCCGTTGGCATATAAATGTAGGTATTAATTTAAACAGTGGGAGTTCAAAGTGAATTGAATTTTAGTACAATAAATCTCAATCTAGATAGCTATAAATGTTGCTTGACCTTTGCAAGACTCGTTGCGAAATCGCAATGACAAAATTTTATTGCACTGCAAACAGATCATGAACTAGTTTCTTTAAAATATTAATACTTTGTAACTAGGCTTGGATAAAGGCACCTGTCATACCTCCATCATAATTGTTGAATTTCATTGCAGAATTTAATGACCAGCT